GTCTGCTTGGTTATCTTAGTGTTCAGAGAGTGATGAACATAGATTTCCTTACATACCTAGACTCTCCCATATGCAGAGGTTGTCTGTGTGTTAGGACAAGCTTTTAACACTTGGCCAGGAGATTGACACCTCTGCCTTAGTCTTCACTTCCTGCTTGCACAGAGCCTTAAATACAGACAGGGATGAGAGCTTAGGACTTTCTCAGAGGTGTTTTTTTTTTTTCCTATATTCTTAGCCCTAGGCATGGATGTGATCTGCTATAGTCCCAGGAACATGTCAGAGTTCTTCAAAACCCTCTATGAACATCTTATTCCCCAGCTTTTGAAAAATTTTAAACAATTTGTGATGGATTTTTTTTGACAATCACCCAGAAGTAATTTGTCCTTAGTGGATTCCAGGTCAGATAAGATAAGTATAATCCTTTTCAGTGGGGTCTGTCAGGAAACCAGCAGACAAGTCAAATCATGACAGTTCCCTAGAAATGGAGTTTTAAAGGAGTTCCAATCTTATTCTTCCCCTTCCCATAGCTGGAAGGCTATAGTTCTAAACATGAATGTGGACTGTTTATTTTTAAGGCTATCACAGGACTGCAGAAGATGGGGAATAGGGCAAAATAAAATGCCACAAAACCTGCCATTCTTCCTTAATGCAGCCCTTTTCTGCAACAAACACTTCTTTGATTGCTCCAAACCTTTGTTTCATGTTAAAGATTCTGAATGTGTTAATTCAGATAACTTTTGCTAGTTTTCTCATTGGTGTTATGGAGGAAGGATTTTGGAATGTCTTTTCTTTGCCCTTACCACTGATGTCCTATTCTTTTATTTTTAATGTTTATGTGAAATTTTTATTTAGGTGTACCACGCGTAAATGACTTTCTAAATGTCCCAATTGAAGAACCTTTGTCTTTTATTAGGAAAAGTAAATTTTTTAGTATATTTTGTTCACAAATATATTCAATCTTCACCCTCCTTTATTTTAAATTCTTCTTTTTTAATTTTTTAATTATTTTTAAGTTTATCTATGTTCCACACTGCCCTCTAGTAATCTGAAGTTCTACTTCCTATTTTACTACAAGTTACTGTAAATATACATACCAAAATATTTAAGATTGCATTTTTCTATCAAAATAAAAACTAAATAGTATAAAAGGTACATAAGATCAGATTTCAAGACAATATTTAAAACAAGTAAGAAAGGGCCGGGGATTTAGCTCAGTGGTTCCGGCCGGCTGCCTTGCAAGTGCAAGGTCCAGAGTTCAATCCACGGTACCAAAAAAAAATGTTAAAACAAGTAAGAAAACTGAATCTTTACAATACACTTTTGTGGCTCTACTTTGGAAAGACTTCGTGCTTCCAATAATTGCTGCTATTTAGTGAATGACTACAATGCACCAAACAGGTAGTAAATTTCACTTGTTGATTAATCTTCACAAGTCTGCACAAATATATTGTTATTGCCTATTTATATATGATTAAATAAACACAGAGAATTTAAATAAAGTGCACAAAATCACATAAATTATAGATAAAAACATCAAGATTCAAGTTTGGATCCACCTAAACCCACAGCCAAAACTACAATGATTTTCAAGGGCTTGTCCTTTTCCGTAAGAGTAAAAAATTAAGAGTACAGTTAGTTGGGAGAGGCATTCGTATTTCTAAAAATAGATACCAGAAAATCATCTTTCTGGAAATCTTTCATCTAACCAAATTTTTAAATATATAGAAGAAAAAAACATAATGATAGATGAAAGTTAGAAGAGCGAAAACATGCTAAAGAATAGCCTGGAAGAAAGGGACAGCTGGGGGAGTGTGAGAAGGAAGTCAAAGAGACAAAGTCAACCTGAGTGGATGGAAGGGAACAGATGGGAGATGAGCAGAGACAAAAGGAGCCATGTGAGTAGGTGTCATCAGTTAGAGGGCAAGTCACTGGAATTTGATCAATTGACAAGAATTTATTTACTGGACTCCTGGGCATTGTGGGAGATACAAAAGAAGGTAGAGTTATTTTGGGAATGATAATGATGTAGACAAGACAGATGGCTTGAACTGGGGCATTAATGCTGAACGAAAAGCTAGAGACAGAAGGCAGAAAGAAAGAGGTTAAGGCAATTCCCATGTGAGCCAGCTTGCCTATGAATCTGGAATCTGTGTGGACATAGAAAGAACAAAATTAGATGAAACTCTGTAGTTGCTATTGAGCCAAAGATAAAGAATTCGTAGATGAAAGGAAAGGAAATCACCTGCCCTTTCCATTTCTTCTTTTATGAAAATTAAAAGATTGATAAAGGTTTATAAAACATACCCACCTACACATACACAGTTATATAATGCCTTGCATCCTTCTTCCAAATTTAAACATGTTCACTTAGCTAAGTCAAGGCACAGCCTAATGAGTATGACCAAGACTGATTAGTCTGACCACCTTGGGAAAAACTAGGAAGTCTTTCTGACTTGGAGGAAATTGCAAATAAGACTTAAAGTGACTAAGGGCATTTATCAAGGTGGATCTCCATGTATTGAAGTGAAAGCAAATCAAAGCTGATGTTAACAAACATAAAACCTATTTGAGAAACATGATGAAAAAATAAAATTTCCAGCTATTCCTCTGGCATTATAAGTAACAGGCTCTCTTATATGCATTCATTTATTCTAATGTATTTATTGAGGACCTCCCATAATAAAAACATTAGCTACTGTGAGTCTTCCTATATACTAGATTCTTCTCATGCATTATTATATCACATTTTCACAACAATTATATGAAGATACTATTATTATCCCCATTTTATAAAAAGAAAGAGGAGACAGACAGGTTCAGTAGTTTGTCCAAAATCCCATGGTTAGTAGGGGAAAGAGTAAGAATTTATATCCTAATCTGTTTTATACTTCTTCTTCCTGAGGTAGGTGCATTTTAGGCAAAGACAATATAAAAATTAAGATTTGGCGGTCTTTGCCCTTGAAGAGAATATAGACTAGCTGGGACCCAGAGAGCCAAAAAATTGTATTACAATAAGACATTTATTTTTCTCGAGTTACAACCAACCCAACACATGAATAATTGGGTTATGACCAGAATTTTAGTTTTAATTTATGAAAAAAGTCTTGAGTTATGACCCAAATGCTGCCCACTTATACTTCCAGATGGTCTCAGATATAGACTTGACCCTTAAACAGTTCTGGAAGGAACATTACAACATCCTTTCCTGTGTGGGGTTAATTGAGAAATCCTGAGCCAATGTCTCTCTAAGATCTCTCTGATATGTCTCTCTGAGATCTCCCTGGAAGAAAGTGTGGCCTAAAATTATACAGGAGAGAGACATTGAAGGCAATTGACCAACTTGAATTACAACCAGTTCTCAGGAACAAATTGGGTTTGTATGTCAAGGGTCCATTGTATATGCTAAAATGAATGAGTATTGTTTATGCTAAATGAATGAATAAAGAAATATATAAATTTCCTTGAGGTTCTCAGAAACTACTTGAGCAGGAACTTTAAGGGTCAATAATCATTTCCTAGGTGATGAAAGCAGAGATGAATTCTAGTACATAGAAAATAATACATACAAAGATCCACAGGCAAGAAAAATATTGAAGTAGTTAATAAACACTCCATAGAGGTTGGACAGACTGAAATGTAGCATGGAGTACAGTAGGATATGAGATAAGCACTTCTATATGAAGCTATCTTGTCAAAAATGGAAAATTTTTATAAATTCTGTGAAGAGTTTCATCAATAAAAGAGGTTCTATGGTTTTACGTTCTGAGATCCATAAAGTTGTAAAAAAAAAAAAAAAAAAAGCAAGACCTTCAAGATGACCTAAAGATCACAGATAAGTAGCAATGGCAGCATTACAAATGGAAGACAAACACAAATACATTGAAAAGCTGGACATGATTGTGCACACATTTAATCCCAGCACTCAGGAAGCTGAGGCAGGAGGATTGCCATGAGTTCAAGGCCAACCTGAGTTACATAGTGAGTTCAAGTCCAGCCTGAATTACAGAGTAACACCCTGTCTCAAAAAAACAAACAAAAATAATGGGAACGGTAAGAAGGCAATGGCATACTCCAGAGAGCTCTGGGTCCTGTGCCCTGGAGGCTTCAGCAAATATGAAAACATTTCACATGTAAGTGCCATGGCTAGTGAAATTCATGCATTTCTTCATCAACACACACACACACACACACACACACACACACATCAGGCAGTCTCAGCCTCGATTGCATTCATGTTCCAATAGCAATACCCAAAATAAAGTTGGGTAGCTTTTTAGATGGCATGGCTGATTTGGAAACTGACTTCAGGTGTGACTGGGGCAGGGATGGGAGGCTGTTAGAGATTAGAGATTAGACATTAGAGATTAGAGATTCAAATACTACTTGGAGAATAGCAGTGTCAGGAGTGCCCTGGGGGACCCCTACCCAGGGTATCTGGGGTGAGCAAGAATGGTCCTGCGTGTACAAATCCACCAAGCCTCTGCACATTTGGGGAGGTAACCAAATGAACACAACCTCAAAGTTGGGGTGATACCACCAAGGGAAGGAGTGTGCAGGGAGTGATCACACTGTCTTACAGAGGACAGCATCTGGGAAAAAGCAAATAGAAAAGCCGCACTGTCATATCCCCAAGAATAACTAAACTGCCCTTTGGTTACAGAATTGAGCCACATCCTCAATTGGCTGAGAGACCAGAAGACTTTGAGTTGAGCTTCATATCATATACACATTTGCAGGGAAACAAACATGTGCATACAAGAAATGGAGGTTGTCATTTCATTCCTGTCACCAATTAAGTCTGTAACCTCAACAAGCTGTTTCTTTACCCTGGGTTTCAATTTTCATGTTTCAAAAATGAAGAGCTAGGTGGGATCATCTCTGAGAGCCTTTCTTCCAGCTATAACATTATATGAGGATTCCAGGGATTACTGGAGATGATATAATTCTTTGTCAACTTACAATTCTGTTGTAAATGATCCATTAGATTTTCTTCTTCTTAGGAACTGCCGTGTGAAAATGACCCAACAAATGCAGAATTTACATCTTTCTCAGTCAAAAAAGCACAGTGCCCCATCGTCTCCCAATGCTGCCAAACGCCTGTACAGGAACCTCTCGGAGAAACTGAAGGGCAGCCACTCTTCCTTTGACGAGGCCTATTTTAGAACAAGAACTGATCGCCTGAGTCTCAGAAAGACCTCGGTGGTAACAAAGCTCTTTTTCTTCTGTGTCAGTTTGATTTGTTCAGTTATGTTTGAAGATACCATGATGATCCACATTTATTTCTGAAGCTAATGTTTTCACAGTTTGATAAATGCTGAAATAGAATCCAGCAAGGCAGGAACTACATGTATCCACGATGTTAGACAAAGTTTGAATGATGGTGAGATTTTCCCCTCTCCCTTCCTGTAGCTTCGTGTTTTACTACTACACTAAAGAAACCAATCTCAAATACAGCAGTCTGGCAAATATGGAATCTCAGGTTGAGACTTCCAGCGTTTATTCAAATAATAATATTAATATTATATTATTATTTCTACTGTGTACTCCACATGCTTTCCAAAGGCATTCAAAACTGAATCTAGGCAATTAATGCATATCTACTATATAATGATGAAGGGGAGAAAAAATAGTAGGAAAAGAAAACATACAGGGAATGAGAAGAGAAACAAGAATATCAAAAACCTAGGTAAATATAGTGCCTGGAATTTATCTTTACATTTATCTTTGAGGTCCCAGGCAGTCAAAGCAGAAAAGGAAACATAATTGGTTATAGCATTTCATTAGCAAATATTTGAAAGTATAGCACTCTATCAGGAGAAATGAACATTTTCCTCTTGCTGAATCGGTTGACCTCTATAGATGTCATAGTGAATTATGTAGAGAGAATGGCATAAAGAAGCTGAGCATAGTGGCACACACCTGTAAGCCCAGCAATCCAGAGGCTAAGACAGGAGAATTGTGAGGTGGAGGCCAGCCGGGGCTCCATAGCAAGTTCAAGCCAGCTTAGATGGCATAGCAAGACCCTGCCTCAAAATCCAAAGGAGGAAGTGGTGCATAAAGAGTCATACTGGCGATATTACAAGTGTTCTCGAAAAGTTTTCTATACTAGCCCTCAGTAAAAGCTAAGGGCGTAATGTAAACATGCTCAGAAAGGGCATTTTGCAGGGGGTAATGGCTCCATTTGTTTGAGCTTAAGACAAGTAAATCCCAGCCTTTCCAGAGAGAAGAAAGCTAGAGTTTGCCAGCAAAAGCATGGAGGAGGAAATGACTTAAGAGTGAGAGTAAATATGGCACATGAGAAATTAAAAATATGAAGGATCAAAACCAAGTACTCACTGTGGACAGGGCAACATTTTAACTTGAAACTCATTTGCTTTCTAATACATATTCTCATTTCAAATTCATCTTCTGGGAGAGCTTGGCTGTGACTAAGTTGCCTGATCATCAGAGGCCTTTCGGTTCCACCGTGTGTGGATCAAACACTTTTCCATTCGGCAGATTGTCTTGCAGCATGGAGAACTACCTACCAAAACAGCTTCGTCCCTGGGTCCACACTGTCAAAACAAGCATTTGCATAATCACTTCATGTTTTCCTCAAGCTCCTATTTGGTGATATGTACTTGGCTAAAGCCAACCAATAGTTTCTGATAGAATAAGTTTTGGATGAGACTAAAAATTAAACCTATCTGCCTAGAACTTTGGGCACTAAAGATTTTCCTCATGCTAGTCAGGTGACCACTATGTGAGGTCAAGCTCAATGGTGTTTCAACATTTTTAAAGACCACTCCCTCCTTTGTTTGTTGCTAATCCTTTGGAAAAAAAACTTTCCAAACAACCCATGTTATCCATAGCTAATTTTTCTATGAGTAATACATATTCCATAAATATTCAACTTCTAGCCCTCAGAGCCCCCAAAACGATTAGCCACAAGCCACTGAAATTTTCTTTGAACTCTGCCACTTGAGCTCCTTACTTCAGAGCTCAGAAATGGCAGGTGTGCAATGACTGGGTTTCTGGGAAAAGAAAGTGTGGTATTAGAACACCAAGGGATCTAGAAAGGTGGGCATCCACCTACAGGCAGTATGGAGCTATGAGATCTGTAAACACCGATGCAGCATGCAACATATATTCTTTATGTTTTTCCTTTTTGGTACCGGGGATCAAACTTGGGACCTTGTGCTTGCCAGGCAGGCGGCGGAACCACTGAGCTAAATCCCTGGCCCCTGCAACATGTATTCTTTAGGAAGATTACTCTCATACCAGTATAGAGCCTGGGCTAGAAAAGCCCAGGACTGGCAGTAAATAGGTCATTGCCATGATAAAGACCAAGGATGATAACACCTAGTGTTGGGTTTGAGGGAAATAGAGAAAGTACACTCTCAGTACCAAGCTAGTTGTAGTTAAAACTATGTGTGCTAATATCATCGATGCTGCTTTTGGCACTCACCTAAGACTCACCTTGCTATAAAGTACTGTGTTGTCTTAGTGCATCTAAATTATTTGCTCAATGACCATTAGAAAGGATGGAAGGTAGTTTCAGCAGTGGGAGGCCTTGTAATATGCTGTAGTTGTACAATTACCCACCTATAAGTGAGCCTGAAGTCTCTAAAGGAATCTCTAAAATTCAGAATAGTTACTCCATAAAGACATAGTGGTCTAGGAAATTGTGCTAACCTGCTTTCTTTCTTTACTTCCAGAACTTCCAGGGCAATGAAGCCATGTTTGAGGCAGTTGAGCAGCAGGACATGGATGCTGTGCTGCTCCTCCTGGAACAGTACACCCCAGAAGAGCTAGACCTCAACACCCCTAACAGTGAGGGGCTGACACCTCTGGACATTGCCATCATGACCAACAACGTGCCCATCGCAAAGATTCTTCTGAGGACAGGGGCCCGAGAAAGTCCACATTGTAAGTAAACCTAAGAATAACAGCATTCGAACTAGACCTTCAGGGCAGGGATGGTTGACTAAACATAGGCTCTGAAATTCTTTACCTGCTTTCATGGCCTTTCATGAAAAGAGCAAGCATGTTTATCAGTCTAACCATTCAACTTCATCCTAATTAGAATATGCTAAATAGTATTTAAAATGGACCCCACCAAGGAACTTCCTACTAAGAATTGTGGCTAAGCTTTACAATTTGTGAGATGCCAAATGATGATATAGAATAGGAGGTATACATAGAAAAAGAATGAGTAGATATGTGTTTGTGTCTTTGTATACCAGTCAATGTCTGTCTTCACTCATTTATTCAACAAATAGTGCAAGCCAGTGATACTAGGTACTGGGAATGCAGTGGTGAATAAGACAAACTTCCCATTGTCATAGAACCCAAGTACTAATGGAGGAGTCTTCCAACAAGCAAATACATAGATAAATTAAAACAAAAACTAAAATAATCAATTCTATGAAGAATATACAATAAATGAGCAGCTAGAGATTGGTGGGGAAGGCATTATTTTAAAAATGGTTAGGTAAGGGAAGCCTCTCAGATGTGGTGATATTTCACTTAAGTCCTAAATGAGCCTACAGAAATGAGCCATGGGAAGATGTGGGAGTCAAATTCTGGCTAGAGTGAAAGATCTGAGGCCGCCAGGAACGACACTGACATACTGGAAGAACAATGGCCAATGTGGCCAAAACAAAGTAACACTTGGGAGAGTCATAGCTGAAGAAGTCACTGGGATCAACTGTTGCAGGACCTTGAGGCCATGCCAATGTGTTTCCCTTTGATGACTGAATGTGAAGGGAAAGCAGCAATCAGCTTAGCCAGGTGAAAGCCATGGTCTGATTTGCATTTAAAGATCATTATGAAGCTCTGTGGAGAATGAACAGTGGTGAGGGACTGGTGGAATCAAGAAAACCATGGAGGAGGCAACAACAATAACCCACAACACAGTCAGTTGCTTGGACAAGCCTGACTGTGATGCTGACCAATGGGAGAATTCTGGATATACATTTTAACAGATGTATTAAGATAAAATTCACACACCTTACAATTCATCCATTAAAAGTATACAATTTCATGGGTTTTAATGAATATACAGAGTTTACAGCTATCACAATCAAATTTAAAACTTCAAAAAGAAAGGAAAATCCTGAAAAGAAACTCCATGCTGTCAAGCTGTCACTCCCTAGTATTCCCTCTACTTCCAACCCTAATAAAACCTTTCTGTTTCTGTAGACTTGTCTGTTCTAGACATTTAAGGTAATAGAAATGTATAATGTGTGGTCTTTGGTGACTGGCTTCTTTCTCAATCTATTTTGAAGGAAAGCCTATGATAATACTTGTAGAGTGACTTGCTCTGGGGCCAGGGCAGACCCTGCCCAGGACAGGATTGGATAATATCATATAGTTTTCAGCCTCTGCCAGGCACTATTCTGAGTACTTTACATGTATTGACTCCTTTAATCCTCACAACAACATTATTAGGTACTTTCTTACATTCCCCTTGGGGAACAAACCCTCTGACCCAATGACCACAATGGCTCTGTGCCACAGATTTGATGTTTCCTAAAAGAAAAAGTAAACTCATCAAACTGTTAGCTTCACTAATACTGATTCACTTATTTCCGAGTAGTGGGACTCAGAATGCTGAAAGAGAAGTAAGCAAATATATAATTAGAGGTCACATCTCTGCTTCTAAATTTTATAAACCACTACCACCCAATGACTAGGTACAAAGGCAGGTCCTTGTATCAGAAAACATCTTTACTTTCAAAATGCTAAGTTCACCACATCCATGTCAAAGACAGTGAGGATTTGGAATCAGTAAGACTTGGGGCCTTCAAAAGAGTTCCATCGTCAAAGCACTGATCTTTTTTATAGAACTGGGGATTTCGAGAGATAAGCAAATAAGGGTAGAAAAAATTTAAAAAGACACGTTTGCTGCCTCCTAATTCATCTTGCAATGACATGATTCAGTGAAAGAGAAGTAGAAAGAGAATCAGAAGTTATGGACACAGAGAATGCAGACTGAGCCCCATTCTAGGGGAACAAGGAGACCATTGATCCAGATGTTGCCCAGCCATCCTACACTGGGCTAGAGGAAACATTAGTCCTACTTACCTGAGACACTACCAAGAATTCCGCATTTTCTCTGAAGACAGAAAGACTTCCAACTTCCAAAGCCCTCTTGTGCAAAACTAAACCTCCACAAAGAATCCAAGTACTATCTAGTTAAACCCAAAGCATATTTGTTCAACAGATTCCTAGTTTAGCTTGTTTCTTCTGGGATGATGACCATGATACCATCACAAAGTTGTAAGGGATGGACAGTGAGAGATTAGCCCAAGTTTTGCAGGGTAGATCAATCTGGTTTGGAGGCTTTTTTCCTTTAGAGATTAGCCCAAGTTTAAGTCTCCATGAAATGCGATGCCTAAATCACCTAGAGTACCCAGGAAGTCAGACATAGTACTAAATATAAATTCACATGAGTGAAAATGGGAAAGGAGTGTTGACTGAGTGGCTATGAAGTCTTCATGCATGTTATCTCTGGATTTTACAATAACTCTGTAACACATGTTATTAAATTGATTTTAAGATGAGAAATTTGTGATTCTGAGGGATTTAGTAACCGACCAAAGATCACACACCTACCAAATGACTAGGGATGTCAGAAACCCAAGCCTAAATCTGTAAGATATCAATACCTGGTATCCTTTTACACTAACTTACTCCCTTTCCAAAGAACCAGTATGAAAAGCTATGGCAACTGGGCACTTGCATCTGTTCCCTTAGTCCTATTTGCTAAAATCCTATGGCATATTTCTTTATTCTGTTCTGTGCACTAAGGTGCCATTTGTGTAGGAGAGAGGCAGGATAAAAGAACAGAATGTTTTCAGGAATTTTTAATTCACTTTCTACATAAAGTACAAAAGAAAGAAAATTGCTTCTGTTCATGAGTTTGAACCTGCCCATGAGAAAAACCTTTCTGCCAGCTAGAACCAGATAAGTAAACACCTGCTATATACTGTTCCCAAGGAACTAAAAAGGTAGGATGTAACAGAAGAAAAGTAACAAAGAGGCTTTAAGTTCTTAGCCTGTCTTACACACTAAAAAATGCATTTGTCCACATCATCTTACATGATCCTCACAACTGGCTTGAGAGGTGGGTGTTATCTTTCTCATTTAATCAGGGAACAGACTAGAATAAGAAAAATCAAATAGTTCACCTAATGCTACGAAGCTAGCAGGTGGTGAAGCCATAATTTGAATCCAGATGTCTATTCAGTGCTTTGGCATTTGTAGAAAAATTTTGACAAACTCATTACTACACAGTGGATGCTCAATTCCTTCCTTTCCTGGCTGTCCATCTGTTCCTCTTCTAATGACTGCCACATATTTCAAAGCAGAGTGTGAGGTTTCTAACATAATTCATTTTCTTCCTTCTCCTCCCCTGTGTATTTCCTTCCTAAAACCAATCCCATGCTCTCTTCACTATACCAAGAGCCCAACACATTTCAGAAGAAATTCCTCTGTAATCCTCACCATTTCTTAACAGGAATCATGATGACACCGTAGGGTTTAGGAATTTACTTCCAAAGTCATCAATCAGACCTGTATCCCAGTCATTTGCCCCTCAACAGAGCTAGATGGAGGTGTTCATAAACATTATTCATAGGAAAAGTCCCAGAAGCAGCCATCCAAACTTGCACTCTCCCCTGACAATAAATACTGTATATACAGTAGCCTAGTCTAATCATCAGATAAATCTCCATCTTTAACTAGCAATGGTTTTCCATTCCACCTTCAGGCAAATGACACAAAGTACAGCAGTTCTCCCTCTACCCACAAGGAATACATTCCAGTACCCAGTGGACACTTGAAAACCACATATAGTACCCAACTCTATATGTGCTATGTTTTTCCTACACATAGCATACCAATGATAAAGTTTAATTTATAATTTAGGGACAATAGAATATTACCATCAATAATAATAAATCAGAACAACTACAACAATTAAGCATCACTACTCTTGCACTTTGGGACTATGTTAAATAAAGTAAGGTTACCTGAATACAAGCACTGCAATATCATGACAGTTGATCTCATTACTAAGGTGACTGGCTACTAACTGACCAAAAGGTAGGCAGTGTGTACAGCATGGATACAATGGACAAGGGGAATGGAACAGAACATTTTGTCACACTATTGATTTTGTCACACTACTGAGACCAGCATGCAACTTAAAACTGACAATTTGTTTCTTTCTAGAATTTTTCATTTAATATTTTTGGGACACAGTTGGCTGTGGGTAACTAAAACTGTAAAATGGACCTGAGGACAAGGGGAGAGAGCTGTAATATTCATTCTTCCAAAAAAAAAAAAGTGTCAGCCATTATTGAAGTAGAATCCCAAGTACTTCCCTTCAGCCTGGGGTGTCAAGCTAGGACACAGGCACAGGATCTAAAGGGATTTCCTAGGGAAGCCCCTGAGCAGAGGGACCACAGGATACCCGCAGCTATGCCATTGGTGATTTCCGAGTTGCAAGTGAACAGCTGCTATTTGAGAAAGACTTGTTATATCTGACTTTAAAAGCCTCCCCTCACCTCATCACATACCTCTTCCTTTTTCTGACTCACTCGTGTCCCACCCCTATCCTCCGATCATAGCTCAACCATCTCGAGGGGGAGTTTGCTGAATGGTCAACAAGGGCCTTGCCTTCCTGAGGCTGTCATTCCTTTGGCATCATGAAGGTCCCGTGAACACTAATCCTAAAGAAACAAGCTCCTTTTGAGTTATCTGGCCACTCACATGTATTTCCCCTAATCTTTGGACTCTAGTACTTAGGACATAGTCGATACTCAGCAAATTTTCGTCAAAATTTTAGCCCCATCTTACACTGCTGAGAACCACAAATAGTGAGTTTTAATGTATGTAGGAACTCACGTTATGTGTACAGT